TGAATATTTTTAGATAAATGCCATGAAACTTTACCAAATTGTTCTATTAATTTGCTATAATATGAATAAATTGTTGAGAGAATAGATGTATCTGATTCAAAAGACTTTAATGCTACAACTATTGGTTCTAAAATATTAATTATCAAATCTACCATTTGCCAAAATTCATCTGATAATATATTATTTCTCATTATTTGATCCATTTTTTGGCGAATCAAAGGGTCCATCAATGATTGTTCAAGAGCAATTCTTGATTTTTTAAGTGATTGAAAACAGCTAAGATGTGTACCCCATCGTGTAAGTACTGGTAAAACTAATGTAATCTCCTTGTTATAATTTTCTAATTGAATACGTTTTAATTTTGCTGCTGCTTGTAGATGAGATCTAAAATAGATTACTATTGATTTTGCATTATTAACTATAGCTTTAATTTCATCAAAACATAAAATATCTTTAATTAAAAGATTAATAATATGAGAATTACACCCAAGACAAACAATATTAGGATATTTTTCTTCAATATTTCTCCATGCTGCTTTCATTACATTAGTTGTATCTGTAATGACTGCTGAAAACTTTTGGATACCAATAATATCCATTTGTTGAATTATTTGATCTGCAATCCATTCTGCTGTATGAGATTCTTCACCTGAAAAAGTTGCATCAAAAAAAAATGGTTTTGGAGTACAAATAACAAAATTATGTACTGAATCTCTGTTAATGTTAGACCAGCCATCAGAAACCATACAAAGAGTTGTTGCTTTTGAAATTTGTTCATCTGCTTGTATCTTTACATCTTCATAAACCTCATCCAATAATTCATTAGCAATCTTCTTTCTATTTGGAAGTTTAAAAGATGGTCGAAGATATTTAAAAAATTGAATAACAAAGGGATTATCAACAAAGGTAAATGGTACTCCAGCTGAATATAATGCCTGAGCTAGTAAAAATTCAAGAGATTCCTGTTCTTCTTCCTTCATATTATCAACAAAATTATCTAATTTGATTTGTTTTTTAGATCTATTTTTTTCAATAAGAGGTGTATTTGTATTAGTTAAAGGATGTTCTGTGATATTTGAGGGTATAGGATTTTGTATTGGAATGGTTTTTTGTAATTTAGCATTACTTGGTGCATTTAAACACTCATTAAGATGAGCTTGCATTCTTAAAGGAACAGCTCTATTGAAAACTTTAGAACAATAATTACATTTTACAGAAGGATGTAAACTTGGTTTAATCTCATTATTTTCTATTGAACTTTGTGTAATAATCGTCCAATGGTTCCAAATAGTTCCCTTCTTTTTTACCATTTTGAATAAAAAAAACCAAAGAAATTATTGAAAATGTACTTCAAAAAGTGTTGACTTTATTTATAAATCAAATATTTGATAAGTTGAAGATAATAAGAACAAGGAGAACAAGGAGAACAAGCAAAGCTATTTAACGCGATTTTAGGTTTTACATATTAAAAGGTTAAAAAGGAAAATTTACATATTCAAAATTAAACTTTCGATAAATATTAACGTTAACGTTAAACGAAAAAAAAGATGATCTATTATCTATATTAATCTATCAATTTTATTGGTCAATTTTTCTTTGATTTGATTGGTCAATTCAAAATTAACCAAAATGGTTAATTATCCCTCGGTTAATTAACGGTTAATTAACGGTTAATTAACCACCAGGTTAATTAACGCCCATCCCTAATTACGTGATAAATGATCGTCACTTTTTTCATTGTTGTATTGTTGTACAAATATTTTATAATCTGCTTATACTAGATAGTAAAATAAAATTACTCTATTTTTGATTACATTTTTTTTTATTTCGGGCAAGTCGTTAAAAAAAAAAAAATGATAATAATGGCCTTGAACCAAGAATACCATTATGTAAAAATATTTATATATATATACACGAGAAAAAGGAAAGAAGGAAGTGCCCATTCCACTGTTTTTTTGAAAATATGAGAAACACGCGAGGGATTATTCGAAGATTGTATGACAAGAATAATATCCTGTTTTAATGCAATCAGAAAATCGCAAAACGTCATTATGACTTGTGATAAATTAACTTAGCCATTACAAATATAAATAAGTACACACCCGGAATGTCATTTTCGTCCGATAAGCCTTTTTATAATTTATCATGACTTCTCAACAAAGTATGGAAAATAGATACACACAAATTTATTCAAATTCATCAAAGGTAGATATAAATTATAAGAAAGGAATGAATCCAATTGATACAATTGATACCAATTTTATAGGCAGCAATAGTTCAAATCGAACACGCGTTTTAACGCCACAAGAAATAAGTAATACATTTCGAATAATGGCTTATCGTAAATCTGAGAGACAAGTTAGAGGTCGATATCGAAGACGATCATATACAAGAGTATTTTGGTTTATCATGTTTATGTTATTATATTTATCATTGATTGGGGCCGGAATTGGTGGTTTATTAAGTAAGTTGGACTAAAATTAATAATATTAAACATCTTGCAAATTTATATTTATGCGATATTAAATCCTTTAGAGAACGTTAGCACATGGAAAAGATGGCCAGAATTCGCGACTTTCGTGGTGGCAGTTTCTTTGTTGATGTACGTTTATTATAAGGTCGGTTTATTCGGGATCTTCATTTCACCACCGTATATGGTAATGCCGGTTAAAACTCATTCTTCGTTGATGTTTATAGATAACCGAAGTTGTAAGATGGTGTTTTTATTGGTAAAATTCCTAATCAGTATTATAAGATCCTTAATTTTATCGCGAATGTACCTTTTTTTAATTATGATTCATCATTACATAGGTTAGCAATTGCTACTATAATTCTTTTGGTTATAAATCGAGGTTCGCTCACGCCTGACGACAAGGGTCCTGCACAAACTCGTACGACACGAATTGTGATAATAATTCTTTCCTCCGTTGAAGGCTTGACGTTGCTAATTTGGTTCATTATTCGCTATGTTTATCCACGTATAGTTAGGGATGTTAAATGGTTGGACACAATATGGTGGTGGAGAATAATACAATCAAATTACATTGGTTCCTATAAAGGAGATGCCGTTGGAATTTTTCATTATTTCGCCTGGGAAAGTTATAGCCTTTGTTTAAGGCATGGACTTGTAACTTATGTTGGTGAGGTTAATGCCGAAGGCCGACCTCACGGACGCGGTGAATGGGTTGATGATTCATTTGATGGAGAGTGTTTAAAAGGTAAGTCCTCATGATAATAATTCGTCATTTTCAAATTTCAAATTATCTTATTCTAATATTCAAAATTGAATTATTCTTCATTCTTTCAGGTATTTGGGAAGGTAAACTTAGAAATATCTTAATCATGCATAAATACACCTAGAAAATCATTTTTTAAAATATTTTCTATCCTATATTAGACGGAATGCCTGTTGGACCCTTTCAGGCAAGAGGCACAGGTACAGGAGACGCGTTTCATGCGGTTCGAGTTGGACTTGTAAAAAATAGATATACTCCGTGGGATGAATGGAGGTTTTACCCTAGACCCTATAAAAGTGGATTAGATATAATAGTTGCTTCTGTTGAGTGCTCTGTTTCTGGCAAATATTTAAAGCATCTTCCACGATCCACATTATTAATTCCACAAAAATTCGATGAAGAATCAAATAAATTAACGATGAAGGATTGTTTGGAATATTTGACAACATTTGTTGCCTCCATGGGACCTGATTTTGATTCCAATGATGTGACGCAATCGTCAGTGATAATTAGAATGAAAGATGAAGGATTTGCGATTACAGGGTATTACCCCATTGATAAAAGTACCTCACGTAATGAGGTAGTTGTAAGAAGGGTTCCTAAGGAAACAAGTGATCATTTTAATATCGAGTATACTCTCAAAATAGACGGCTGGAGACCATCTGGCACCACTAGTGCATCGGGACATTGCGAGGGTTTATTGGTAAGATACGTTCTTACTTTGATATTATTATTATTATTATTATTTTTAAGAAAAAACTATTTTTATATATATATTGTTAATATTCAAAGGGAAATTTTTATTTTTCACTAGGAATGTGTCGTTTTCATACATGGGTTCAATTGTCCGTCAAAGTTTGCCTTGGAAACATTTGGACAGTTTCTTGCATTGGCCGATTTTCCTAGTTACATAAAACCCTTTGTGTTCTCACCAGCGAGTACGAATTCTTTGTGGTATTTTGGAGTCAAAAAGCAAGCATCTTCGGAAGAAGCGATTAATGGTAAATATAATTTTTTCTAAATTCTATTAGCAAGGAACTTTTACGTTAATTAATTTTACATATAATGTCCATTTCTAATGCTGTTAGATTTTCGGACATTTTTACAAGACCTTCGCGATGCAGGATTTTGCGCAGTACATATATTGAGTCATTCGATGGGTTGTATGTTGGCACTTCAATATGCAAGAGTATTTGAAGAAACTTTTCAAATGAAAAGTTCAGGTAAAAGTCAAGATTCGGAGGGAACATTAATGAAATTATCGACGGTTACTTTGCTTAATCCTGATACCTCTTTAAATAAATTCCTTAATCAAGATTATGCTAATTTGAATAGATATTGTGATCATATTACAATATATTCAAATGAAAGAGATTTTGCATTGAAAATAGGGGAAATCTTTGAACGGGATAAAAGTTTGGGAAGACATACACGTGACATGAAATGTCGTGATGGAAAATTTTTAAATGTTGATTTGATTGATACAACGCAATTGGATGTTAATATGCACAAGATTAGACATAACTTTTTTAATTTGAATAGATTGTTGGTAGATGATTTACGAGACATTATAGTCTTTGGTAAAAGAGCAAAGGAAAGAAGAACAAAACTGAGTAGAAAAGTTAAAGGTGTTGGGTTGGAAGGTATTGTATATACTTTCTTGGTTGCTCCAAGTTACGTCGTTAATAAATGAAATCTCGCGGCAATTAACGTTTCGCTTATAGGATGGGAAAAAAATTTTTTTTTTTAATTTGATCAATCATAGTTTGATCATTGGCGATTTAACTTCGGCGTGTCTCAATAAAATTTAATAAGTCACACTAAATTATATGTGATAATTACAAAGGATAAATTTTATTTTACACGAAAAAAAAAAATTTTTTTTTTTTTTTTTGATATTTTACAAGATTTTGATTAATTAACCAATGATCGCAAGAAAATTATTCCGAAACAAATTTGTTTGTATAAACTGATTCTAAAAATTTTCGTTCGGTCACATCTTTAGAAAGGGTAGATCTAGTACTAGAATACTTGACGATCATATCAACATGTCTTTTAGATAACCCTTTTTCTTCACCAAAATCTCTAAATATTTGTATCCAAACCTCAGAAGGAACTTTTACTAAAACATTAGAGTTGAGATTATTTAATAATAAAATTCTCGCCTTACTCATTAATTCAATCATAGAGACCGTTGAGAATGAATCAAATATACGATTTTGATGAAAGTAATTTAAAATGCTTGAATACAATTGAATTTTCCTTCCGTCTAAATGAGCAGGGATCGAAACTCGATGAGAGGATTTTAGTAAATACAGCGAATCGAATTTTGAAAAGTTCACACCGGGTTGTAAATGTAAACCTTTAGTATTGAAATTAACGTAAACTAAATTGGTGTTGTGTAATAAAGCTTCATCTAGTTTTTTCAAGAATTCGAGAGAAACCTCAGAATTTAATTGAGACAGATCAATATTTTTTAAAACCTTATTTATCTTTAATAAATCCGCGATAGCAGATAAACCTTTATCACCAATGTCATTATTTTCCAAAATCAATTTTTTTATAGAACGATTTTTCTTTAAAGCTTCAACGATTAATAAAATACCATCATCATTAATCTTGGTATCACCTAAGTTCAATTCGGTAAGAGAATTATTTTGTTCAATGAGTTTCGCAATAGATTTCGCTCCTTCATTACCAACTTGATTAAACCTCAGAGAAATTTTCCTTATAGGACGATTAAATTCTAAGATACGATTGATCATAACATCAATCTCTTGATGATTTAACATTCTTCTCGAGAGAATTATATCGATAACGTTACAATTTTCAGGTTCATGACCAACTTCATGACAAATTGAACAAATCGTCGGTAGTTTAAACCTATAAACCGATCCAGGATTTTTCATTGTATTTCCCGAAATCAAATATTCATTCCGATTACGAGATAAATGAACCAACAAATCATTTAATGATTCAAGCTTGGAGATTCCTTCATAACGAAATGTAAACCTACCACTGTGTCTAAAATATTGTAAATATGAAATGGTTTGCCATGGTAATAATGATGTTAAGAGTTGTCCATTTAATGTTGAATTATGAAGTGTTACAGGGTATTCTTGAGGTTTTGTCGAAGCTGAAGAAGGAGGATTTCTTGTTGGTCGAGCCATGAATTTTGAATTTTGAAAATGAAATTATGAATTTTAAATTTATTTTATTTTATTTTATTTTTAAAAAAAAAAAAAAAATAGGGCAGAAAAAATTTTAAAAAAACAACTTTTTTTATTTTTTTTTTGGTCTAATATAAATGGATTTTCTCGGACTTATCAGTTAAATCTTCTTATGGTCACAAACAGAGAGTTTCCATGTCACGGTGCTTATCTAATTTGAGAAGCAAAAACGATTTGGGAATATTTTATTACAAATGTATAATCTCTTTCCAAATGGTAATCGATAATCATGAAAACATGCTGTGATTATCATATTGTAATTTTTTAAATTTATTTAAAAATTTAATTGATAAGATTTTGATCGACTTTTCTGTTTATATTGAAAATTTAAAGATTTAAAAAGAACCCCGCACGTTGTGGAACTAACAGCAAATTCCATGTAAATCACGTCTAAACGTGAAAAAATATACAAACTTATGTACAAAGAACAAAAAAAAAATCACAACTTATATTGACCCAAGAAGATAGAACCAACAATTTTAAATCCTATTTGAAGTATAGGTGTAAGGGTTTCAATAAGCCTTATCCAATGTTCTCTGCTTCGTTTAATTTCCTCGATTTTTTTCCTTATCGCTTCCAATTCTGATTCCTTTTCACTTAGTAATATGGTTAGAGATTCATCACGATTATTCTGAATTTGTTGTAATAATTCAACGTTTGTAACATTTTGACGTTCGAGATTTTCATCTAATTCTCGAATTTTATTTTTAAGTCGAAGTTCAACTTGTTCATGTTCAGATTTCAATTTATCATATTTAATTTGCAATTCTTTTTCCTCGGAAGCACATTCCAAGTATCGTTGTTCAGTTTCTTGCATTGATTTGATTTGATCTGCCAATTCGCCTTTGAGAATTCCGAGCGATTTTAGTATTGTAATCGCATCTTGATATTCCTGAGATTTAAATCTTGCCATAATCTTTTCCGTTTCCGGACAGTCTATTAAGGTATCTAATACCTCTCTCTCAAAAACTGCGATCGCATTATCGAAATCTTCTTGGGACTACGTAAAAAATTCGTTAATACAATTACTGTTTATAAAGGGTTAAAAAAAAAAAAAAAAAAAGGAAGAGGAGGAAAACCTTACCTCAAAGCGGTTATCTTTGTCGAGACCAACCTTTACGTTTCTATCCCATAATCCTTTAGCCAATTCTATGTTCAACTCGTATAAAGATTCGGAATTTATTCTACGAAATTCTTCAAATTCTCTCCCGATCAATTTATTTAAATCGCGTTCATAATTCTTTATCTGAATTTCATCTCCGATAATCCTTTTGAAAAATTCTGTTTCAACTTGATTAAAAACATTTAGGTGAACTTCATGAAAGTCGGTCCAATTAAATACTTCGACGTGCTGCACATTTTCATCATGGTCGTTCCCGGATCGTAACAAGGATTTCATGCTCGTTACGTACATTTGAACGCAATGATCAATGGATTTGTGAGCAATGTATTCAATAATCGATTCGTATTCATCCGGAATCGATAAATGAAAATTTGAAGTTTCAGATGTATCGTTTAATTTATTGACGCACTCTTGAAGGAATTTCGTGAATGGCACCCCTGACATGGTAGATGAACCGATGTACTTTGGTGCCGAGGTAGATAAAATCTTATTAATCGAAATAGTGGCTTCCTCGACGAATTCCGATTGCAAATCTGACGTTGATACCTTATCCAAGTTTTGTAATTGAGTACGGTCTGCCGCTGGCATCTATAATGGATTAGAAATCATTAAATTATGAAAAACCTCCCCTACCCGATAAGAATTAATACGCTACCGGTAGAGCAAACACGTCAAAGTGGGAGAAATATTTTTTAATCCCTTCTGCCGCTAATATGACAAATAAAAATTAAATTTGTGTGAGATTTTCTAACGAGAATATCACATACATACCTTGCTCATTAACCTGACTCAACCTATTTAAAAAGTAATCCCTAAAATCATCGGGATTTTGTAACATGAAATCCCTAAGTAATACCACCATTCTGGGTAAAAATTGATAATCGGGAGGAGGTTGAATATATTTTGTTAAATGGGACATCAAAAATAGCTTCCCTATGTCCTCCCTACCAACAACACCATTTAAATTATAAATGAATGTTGAAGATATCGTTAAACATAATACGAATAATCTTATCGCCCATTGTTGATTTTGTTTGGGATCGTCGATCCCTTCACAATCTAACACGATAATCCGTTTTCCCTCATGGTAGAATGGTTGATCCCACATATATATTCCTTGGGTACATCCATCCACTGTCGAACCTAAAAGAAATCCATTATGTCTACCGAGCAATAAATTCGCGAACCATGATTTCCCTCTACGATATGAACCCACTTTTTTTTTTTATTTAAAAAAAAAATAAGGGTTAAAATGTTTTGCGCGGGTTAAACAAATGCTAGCAAGATGAACATGCTCAGTAAGTCGGAGCGCATACCAACGACAATGACAGAAATGGGTTCTTCTATCGAATTAATGATATTTATGGCTTCGTCGTTTAATACAATTTTTCCGTATTCGTTAGGATTTCTTTCATTCTTGATATATTTTAGAAGTTGAATTGGATTCCCTTCACGATACGGAATTCCTTTACCAAATTTATTTATATAATCGGACATAATTATAGGCAATTTTTTATTTTATTTATGAAGAAAGAGATGTGGAGAGGAAAAAAATTTAAGAAAAAAGATTCGATTACTTTATCACCAAATTTATAATGCTTTTCACAAAATAAAAAATTTCCTCATATTTTCATTTTTTTTTTTTCAATTTTTCCCCCGGGACATTTAAAAAACAAGCTTTCGTTCCATTTTTGTTTTAATAAATGAAATAAATGGTTAGTATCATGGAATATCAATTACAATTAAGTGAATCAAAGGATAAGATAATGTTATTTTTTCAATTGATTATACAGGTCTTGTTGTTTTTCTCACTTGTGTAGCACTAAGCAGGAAAATCATGTGCGCAAACATTATTTTTTTTCACACTAATACACTTGGGGAGAATTTTAATCATATGATCAAAAAACAATTCTGATAATGGCGTAGTTTAAGTAGAATGAGAAAATTCCAAGTTTAGATTGCACGATTCGAATAGTAGCATACAAATTGATAAAGAAGGTATGATTTAGTATGAGTGAGTGATCATGTGACCAAGTGTAGCATATAGGCACACGAAGATATTAATGAACAGGCGTTAAAATATCGGATAGCCATGATATTAGGATTAGCGTATGCCAATATAAAAATAATGTCGATCAGCATAAAAAAATTATCGGGTACGATTAAAAAAATATCGGTTCTTTTAGCTGGTTTTTTTTCTGATGACCTCTTTTAACTCGTTGTGTGATATTATTAACATTTTTTTAGGACTTTGATGACAAAGAAGACTGGTAGTTACGTAATTTATACGTCATTTAAATCATCAATCACGCAATTTTTGTATATCACTCGCTTTTGATCCAATTTTAGAATTATGTTCCGAATAACCATTTGTCATCAAAAAGAATTTTTTTTTTTTTTTTTTTTTTTTGTATAAAATTCCCCAAATTCTCATTCAAACGAAAAATACAAAAAAATAAAAAAATTTTTTTTACAGGTCGCCAACTTATAAAACTTCCCAACCTTTCAGATTTTTTTTTTTCCTTATTACGAAAATTACAAATATGCCTATTATAATTAATAATAAGGATGAGTTCGATCAGTATCTCAAAGAAGGAAAACTGGTACTCATTCTTTATTTTACTTTTTATTTTAAATAAAAAAAGGTGGTCTTTATAATATTCAACACCAACTTTTTCTTTCTCTCTCTCTTGAAAAATGTTCAATAGGTTGTGGTAGATTTTTGGGCAGATTGGTGTGGACCTTGTAGGATGATGGCTCCAGTATTTGAACAGCTTTCAAAGGATTTTCCAAATGTACATTTTCTTAAGGTCAACTCTGATGATCACGGAGTAAGTGTCGATTCTCTTGTTATGATTAACGTTATCGTATACGAAGACACGTCTTTGATTTTTTTTTTTTCTTCCTTGCTCTTTGAATAATAAAAAAAAAAAAAAAATAGGATATATCGCAAGATTATCAAATTCGAGGTTTGCCTACTTTCTTGTTCTTCAAGGAAGGGCAAAGAATAACAGAGGCTGATGTCGTCGGTGCCAATAAATCCCTTTTAGAAGCAAATGTTAAGAAATATCAATAAATATAGATGAACCCATGTTACATATTATGTATATCTGATTTTCAATTTTTTTTTTTTTGAAATACAAACTAGCCAGTATTTTTGTTCTTGGCAATCAATAAAAAATAAAGTTAATCACATGTGATACAGATTTTTTTGTTAATTGCCCATTGATCATTACACCATTGGTATAATATTTTCGATAATAATAATGATGATTACGTAATAGGGCTTTTGAAAATGATGTTATCAACCCCAAAAGAATAAAAAGGACGGATTTTATTTCACACAGTTAGTAATTCTATATATTATAACCTTATAAAAAAAAGAATTACAAAAAATGGGTGAAGGTAAGAAACAAAGAAAAAAATAAATTTAGGCCATGATAATCCATTTTTATTTATTTATTTATTTTTTTTACAAGTTCCGTTAACGATGTACGCTCTACAATTAAATGAATTTGGTCCCGCGTCCAATTTAAAATATGTTGAAGTGAAAGTTCCTACAATTAATTCACCATATCAAATGATTATAAAAGTTATGGCGGCCGGAGTTAATCCTGTCGATTATAAATTTAGAAAAGGACTGTACCCATTATCGAACATCTTTGGAGTTATTAAGATAATAGGATCCGATTTTTCCGTAAATAAATTAATACACATACAGTATAAATGAATAAATATTATTTTTTTTTTTTTTTAAAAAAAAAGATAAAATTTAAAATTTCTTTTAGGGAATCGTTGTCGCTAAGGGAAGCAAGGTAACGGAATTTAACATCGGAGACCAAGTCTTTGGTAAAAAAAATCCGTTTTTTGGAGGAGGTACCTATGCGCAGTATGTATAGAATTATTTTTTGATTTTCCATGTGCGTTTAGATTTAAGGTTTAATTTACGTTCCCTTTGGTAGATATACGATTGTAAACATTAATGACGGTGGGATTGTAAAGAAACCTGCCACGATTACTCATCAAGAGGCTGCAGGATTTGGAGTTGCGGGAATAACGGCGTGGACCGGGTTGATTACTGTTGGAGGTTTAAAGGTTGGTGAAGAAGCCAAGGAAGTTCAAAAAAAGATCCTGGTAATTGGCGCGTCTGGTGGTAAGATCAAATCAAATCAAATAAAAAAAACCAAATCTTGCTTGAATGTTGTCAACTTATTATTCTTCTTCTTTTGTAAAAAAAAAAAAAATCAACCAGGTTGTGGGACTTATACAGTACAAATCGCAAAGAATATTAATAATGCGAAAGTGACAGCGATTTGTTCAGGTAAAAATGCAGAATTAATTAAAAAATTGGGAGCAGAACGTATAATTGATTATACCAAAGAAGATTTCGTTGAAGTATTAAAAGAAGAAAAAGAGAGTTTTGATTTGGTAATTGATTGCGTTGGAGGGGATGAGTTTTATACTAAGTCCATACCAATTTTAAAGAAAAAAGGCAGCTTTCTCACATTCGTTGGACCCGATGCTTATGGTGAAAGTGGGTCAACCAGTGACGTCATAAGGTTATTAGCCATGATGGCCAATAGAAACCTTTTCGGTAAAAGAAGTTATAGATTTGTACTTGCAGCATCTGGGAAGGATTTACCCAAAATGGTTCCGTATTTAGAGAAAAGACAAATCGTCACCGTTATCGATCGTGAATTTGACTTGAAAGATGGTCAACAAGCGCATGAAATGATTGAGAGTCACAGGACCGTTGGAAAGATTATCTTGAATTGTAATATTAATAATTAGTATTCAAGGATCATTTGAAAAAAAAAAAAAAAAAAATTTCTAAAAATAAAAATCAATTGAACCATTTGTACAATAATTTGGATTATCAGGTCTTTTTATTTCACCATTTTTGGTCAGAATAGGGATCGGTAGTTACCTTCTTTGTAACACGATGGTTACGTTTGTCCTGATTGAAAATTTTTTGTTACGGTTTTTACCTTGGACATCTAAACACATTTTCATTTGGTATGCCTAGGCAAATGATTAGATTCATGACAAAAATCGTCTTGACATTAAACGTATCTACTATATTATTAACATGATCCTTTGAGAGGAACGCGAGAATTAACTGCCGCCGCAGCTGAGTTTTCACGCAAATGTATAGTGTAACGATATACGAACGAATCTCCGAAATATATGAAAATTTTTTTCCTCAATGAAAAATGTAATACGTTACGTTAAAAATTATTTATCACAATCAATAAGGTCGTGTAACTCCATCTGGAACAAAGACCCCCGAGTTCCAAAGAGGGGTAAAGAATGAGTTACATGCAGTTATACGAAAAAAAAAAAAGATATTTAACGTACGAAGAAAAATAATATGGATAAAAAAAAAAAAATTTTAAAAATATATACATACATACATATATATATATAATTTTTTTTTTGTTTTTAAAAACAAGAGATCATGAGATTCATTTCGCTTCTAATCGTTCTCGCTTTAATAAAACAAATTTCAGCGGAATGTTATCAACCGGCGAATTTGTTAAAAAGTGTAAGTCAAATAAAACGAGTTGAATGCGGAGCATGGACAATCGAAGAAAATTTAAATGATGGGAACTCACCAAAGTTTAATCAAGAAGGGACACCTTCCGACGAATCGATGTTTCAAGTGACGTTTACGTGTGGATTAGATAATCAAGTTGAGTTATGTAAAAAAGTAGAAAATTCATTTCTAAACGCCGGTAAAATAATTTCCAGCGTATTAAAATTAAATACAAAAATAAAAGTAAACGCTCAATTCTTCAACTTTTGTAAAACACCACCAACTTGTTCCATACGAGAGACGAAAGTTATTGGAGCGGCGGGACCAACAAATTTTTATTCACTAATGGATGAAGTTGACGGGTCAGAAAGATTGTACCCACAAGCGTTGGTTAAACAATTTAATTTTCAAGAGCATCCAATGTATGAAGAATTTGACATATTAGCAATGTTCAATTCGAGATTTACCTATCATTTTGATGGTGATGTAACGCCAATGAAAGCAAAAGATGTGGATTTTACATATGTCATAACTCATGAATTAATTCATGGATTAGGATTTGCGAGCTCTTGGTCACCCTTGAATGATCCATCCGGTCAACCGTTGGGTCTAATACCCGCAGTCGTTTCACTTGATAGTGGCGCTGATGGGCATGTTATTCCAAAATTTGATGAACCAATAACCGTGAAAGAGTTCATATTTGATAAATTCATGATTCGATTAGATGATGGGACTTTTATTTCCAATTATACCAAAAAAATTCATGAATTTTTTGTAGCAAAAAAAGATGTAATGGAGGTGATGACTTATGAAGAACTTGGAAAGACCCCTGAATTTCGATTAATGCAGGATATGTTAAGATTATCAACGACTCCCAAATCTTTAGGGTTCTTACCTCATGACACCACCGATTACATCAAGGGTTCCGCAATATTAGAAACTTCTTATGCAAAATATGATGAAGGGTCCTCCGTATCACATCTAGACTTTGCGACGTATTTTAACACGAGTGATTTTATGATGATGGCCAAGGCCATTTCTGGTAAAACCCACGACGAATTGATCAAACGTAATGAAAGTTATACCGGTGGAATGATTGGTCCTAAAATCAAATCTATTTTGGAGTCTATGGGGTAAGCAATTAAATTAAAAAAGAGGAAGGTAAATTTATTTGACTTTTAATTAATTTTATTCTTTTTTTATTTAGGTATGCTACCGATGAATACCCGAATCCAAGTAAACCACAACCATTCATTAAACCAACAACACAAGAACCACAAGATGCCAATGTGACATCTACAATAAGTTCTAATGCTCCGGTTTCAAATTCTTTATTTTTCAACTTTACAATTCAACTTTACATTATAATATGTATTGTTACCATTATAAATTTAATCTTATAACACGGGTGATCGCATTTATTAAATAAATTAACTTGAATGATAAATCAACCTTGGACGAATTCTTTGGTTGGATAATTTATTTATTTTATTTACTTTCTACTTTCTTATTCAAAAAAAAAAGAAATTTCAACGTTATTGTGGCATCGGGATGGTGTTGAAATGGTACATAAATCGATGAACCTTCGTAACAAACAACGTCTGTGTAACAATCAAATAAGCGAAGGGGATACACAAAAAAAAAAAACCTTAACCCCCGACCCTTGCACGTGATTTATGATGGTAATCACATCAAAAAAGAAAAATTTCGGGTTAAAATTTGTAAAAGTCTCGATCAAAAGAGATAACATTACCTTATGTATCCCATTTTAATTTAATCTCCCCCAAAAGAATAATATAACGAATGTCTTTAACTGAAAACTTTGTGTATCGTGTAGCGTAACAATTGATTGTTTTCTATTGCAAAAGGTCGTGTACGCATATATACAGTTAAACCTTACATGTAAGTTTTATTAAAAGGAAGAAATCAAAAAGGTCGAAATCATTTTTAATAATCAAATGAAATTATTAGATATTTTTTTTTTTTTAAAAAAAAAAAAAAAACCGTAAAACGAAATTTCTTATTCTTCAAATCCAACGTTACAGGTTCATTATAAAAATAAAAATTCGGCTTTTGAATGAATGAGTTCCTCCAATACGTTAGTAGCCAGTGTTGTCTTGGGACATTGTTGGGAACATGATCTGGACATTGGTGGGATAATGTGGGACATTCTCAAAATGCTTGACATTATAAATCATTTCATTGAATCATAAAGCCGACAGCATGTAAATCACGGTCAAGCATTATAATCGCGGTCGACAATATTGTTTTGTGTATGTTTACATGACAGAGATCTATTGAACGTGAGGTTACTAACACGATACCAAACTAACGTATCCACGAGGTTCGCCTATCTTATTTCGTTTTAAGCAGCAAAAGCGAAAGGCTGGGCAAATTAATCGGCACATGACTAATTTTTTATTCTTTTTATTTTCGTGTGCATACTAATGAAAGAACTATCAAGCCATATCATACACGTGTAAAGGTAAAAGTGGACTTGTTTATTTCAGATTTAAGTACTTTCCATACATCAAACACATGTGATCTTACAAAGTAATATTTTTAAAAATCATAGAATATACATATAAAAAATATAAAACATATAAAAGAAACAACTTATTAAACGATAGCTATCGAATATACTTAAACTAACGCGAATATAACGATATAAAACGATAAATGATCGATGAATCAGAGGAAATCGTATAAAAGAAAAAATTTTTTTTTAAAACCGAATAATAAAATAAGGGCCCTAATCGAAATTTCGTGAATATATAAATAAAAATATTCTTTAAATAAATCAATCCAAATGGAAAAATCCAGTTTCCAAATGAATCGATTAAAAGAAGACCGATTCAGATATATAAATTAATCAATTCGGCAAAGATTAAAACCATCCTTTGCCTTGTAATAAACATCATTCTACGTAACATGATCACTTGTCTCCTCCTCATTCTAGGTCGTTGACGATTATTATGATCATCTTGATTTTCTTGTTGAGAACCACGTCGTATATTTCTAAACATGCAAACGATTTTTTTTTTAGAAAAGGTTATGAAAACTTCTATTTCCGATAGGATCGTTTTACTTGCGAGAATTTAATCGTTTTATATGCGGGGAAAGAGCTTAGAAGATAAAAAAATACTTGTTTGAATCAAGACAAATTCTAAGGAAACGAAGGGAAATAAAAAAATGTCTTAAAAAAGTTTTTTTATTCCATGTATACTGAATGTATACTGAACGACTTTAAATATAAATTATTATAATTATTTATTATTTTATTTTCGCCATCTACTGTCACAAAACCTTTGGCAAATCCATTTATTTTTAGACCTGTTATTTGAGAACATGTGTACATAAACTTTTCTATTTCCGGTTTAAAATTTATGATAAAGTTGACTTGCTATATGGACGGGCGAATGCAAGCTTAGAAATGTGGCAGATCGATAATTAATTGTGGGTAGGAAAATAGATTAAATGAGATTGAAAGCTGACATAATAATTGTATGCGGGTTGATTCAAGCACCAGAAATACGTGCTATTCTCGCAGCGGCTTGTATGCGCTGACATGAAAGTATTTTCCAAGACATCACATTATCCAAAAAAAAAAAAGGGTTTGTAATTCTCCTAAAGGCTACAAAACGAGTTAACAAGTACAATGTATGAAGGTTATTTTTATCGACAGGATCATTTTTTCATTCTTTGGGTAAAATCATTTCATAATTCGTTGCTGCAAAGTGAGTACAAACGCCTGAACTTTCTTTTTTTTTTTTTTTGATCCATCATTTTAGGAGAACAACAAAATTTACCCTTTTTTTTTCTCATCAAATATGCACGTCGTTGCATGTATAACAACTATAACAACTCTTTCATAATTTTGAACATAATTTATGTAATTTTTGGTAATCCTCCTTTTTTTCATGAATCGGTCACATGATTAATATGACAAATGACAAATTATCAATTTTTTTTAAAAAACAAAGCTGTAACTTTTTGCGAGCATTGTATCTCGCTTAAACAAATACGTATTTTTTTTTTTTTTTTTTTTGGTTCTGAATATTCACAATGTACAACAAAAAGCGAATAATACGAGTCGTAAAAATTTTATTACAAATATAACACCGTTACCGGGATCGAGAGATGAGATTTACCTCAATATTCCAAGTTATTATGTATATATCAAATGAAATAGCGAGGTAAATTTAGCCGAATTAATTCATTAATTTTAAGATTTCATCGGTAATGTCAACCGAAT